AAATTGATTTTCAATTTGAAGAGCTTTGAGTTTATAAAAATTGAAAGAAAATCTACTAATGTTGAAATGTTGAAATGTTCATTTGTAGGGCAGATGTATCTCATAGATGAAAGAGAATGAGTGGTGGCAGATGGAAGAGAGAGAATGAGTGGGGAATTGATGGACAACGTGTGGGTTCTATGTTTCTAACCATTAAATTGATTTTATTTTTTTTTTGATGTCTGTGTTCTGTTTGTTTTTTTATTTATATAGATTTTTTTTTTTTACGTAGCTTATGGATTTGGATTTAATTTTTTTAAAAATTTTAGGTCTGAAATAATAGTTGATCTTTATAAAATGGGTTTTGATTTTAAAAATATATTTTTATTTTCAGTTTGATTTATGAAATGGATTTAATTTCTTAATGGAAAATTAGTGTTGATTTTTTATGGTTTTGAAAAAAGCTTGTGAAATGGGTGCTGATTTTTTTTATTTAACAAAATCAAATCACAAATTTAGGATAAAATAGAGTGAAAAAAAATACAGAGAGAGGAAGATCGAACAAAGGAAATAAAGGGTTTGTCATTTGGGCTCTGAGAAGAGATGTAGTGTTTGTTAAGAGATGAGAGAGGATGATAGGAGGAAATGAGAAAGAGAGACGTTACACACACACACACAGAATGAGTATTTTAAATACTATACTTTTTTAGATGATGAAATTCTATAAAAAGTTTAATAAAAATTTCAAATACAAATTAATATTTTAATTTAAACTTTTAGTAATGAATTTGATAAATTATATTTTAACTCAAACGAACCACCATTGTACGATATCTTGAACTGATTTATTGTAATTGATTTTTATAACAGTGAAATTATTATCATTTTGAATTGATTTTTATAAAATATGTGTACCAATATTATTTATACCGTGCCTTCAGGCACGAGCATACGCTAGTATACTAATATGGAGATACAATACAATGGTGCAGATGAAATAAGGATGGCTTTCAACACGCTAGGTGCTGAGTTCGATTCTTATGCACACGTGCTTGGAGAGAAAAACAAAAACAATTAATACAGGTGACAATCCAGGGAAATTCTGTTTTCACAAACTTACTTATCTTTGTACACACACTTAATGATTTATTTTTTTATTATAATTTTGTCCTAAAATAAAATTACTAGAGTGTCCTTATCTTCTTCACTAAAACTCTTGTTTCTTAACCCTAACCCTAGTCACTGCCCACCGCTATTGCCGCCATCGCCATCAACTCCGCTATAACTTCTTTGCCGCAAAACCGCCATCTCTCTCTCTCTCTCTCTCTCTCTCTATCTCTATCTCTCTCTCTCCGGGTCTTCTTGTTCTTCTTCTTCTTCATCTAGAAAAAACATTTGAGAACCAAATTCTAGACTAGTCCAAAACCTAACCCAACCCACTATGTTCATCTTTTTCCCAAATTTTTTTTTTCAATAAAGTTCCTAGGTTACTTTACAGATTGTTAAAGTCTGATCAAAGTCACAATTGTCATTAGATCCAAAATGTCTAAAGTCTTCAATTACTCTCTCTTTATATAGACACAGAGATATATATATATATAACTATATGCGAATTGAGTTGTGTAGTTATGGTGCAAAACATACTTGTGGCTGGTGGTGCTGGGTATATTGGAACCCACATGGTGCTTCAGTTGCTTTTGGGTAGTTATAAGGCGGTGGTGATCGACAATCTCGACAACTCCTCTATTGTTGCAATCAAGCGGGTTTAAGAACTCATCGAAGAGCCAAAATCTTACGGTGGAAGGGGGCTGAAAAGGGGTGACTTAGCCACCGCCATCGCCAATGCATGGTCATGGACGGCGACAGGCGATGAGTGGCAATGGGTGTTGGTTTAGGGTTTCAATGTTAAAGAGAGGGGGATATTTTTGGCAAAAAATGTTGTGCATTGAGTAAAATTACAAAATTCAAAATTAGTTGGTGTGTGTATTGAAAGAGGATGTGGAGTGAGAGGTTTTGGGGTTTGGAAATAGAATTATCCGACAATCCATCACCCCTCACCTGCGAAAAGCAAAAAATTACAACCGTATCCGTTCCTCAAAACTATGCAGTCATCCAAAATCTTTCAAGTTGGGTCAGTCTAGACGGGTTGGAGGATCCGCTTATCACCCCTAGCTTTAACCCAATTAGATAAGCAAGAGATTTAACTCAAATAAATATAAATATATTTTTCGTTAACGACAAAAAAAAATATTTTTTATTAAATTTTATTTATTATTGTACCAAATATCAAAAAATATAGGGTAAATTATAATTTAACCCCCTGCGGTTTACCCATAAAACACGGAGCCTCCCTATAATTTCATTTGTAACACTTAAACTCCCTGAACTTTATACCAAAGTGCAATTTCGGACAGAACCGTTTGTTTCAATAGAACGTGTGTTGCACGACCATAAAACCAAAATTTTCCCCCTCAACCACACTGGATAATTTCTGATCTTCTTCTTCTTTCCAAGTTTTTTGAAAACAAAGACGTTGCTTCTTTCTCTAAAATGCTTCTCTCTCTCTCTCTCTCTAGCTTATCTCCTTCATTTCTCCATCTTTCCCTTTCATTTTTGTTTCATTATTCTTCTAAAATCTATGTATATCATTCTCTTAACTCAAATAAAGTTAACCCATAAATTAAAATCCATGTCTATCATTCTCTACCATGGCAACCACCATCATCTTTCATCTTCTTTTTGTCACTATAGACACACATACATTATATACATAAGCATACCCAATTAACTAAGTCAAGACCCAAATTGTAATGGTGGCTACCACCATGGGTACCGTGAGAGGGGAAGATGGTGGGTGGTGGGTGTTGGTTGAATAGAGGAGATGAGATGAGCTTGGTAGGTGTTTGCAACTATGGACTATTTACAAAAAGTTATGGTTTTGTTATTGACAATGCATTGCCTTTTCCTAGCATTGTTTGATATTTATTAGAGTTTCTGAAAACTGACTTCACTTTTCTTTTTAGATTTGGTGCAAAAATTTATGGTTTGGGTCTACATTCTAGAGAGAGAGATGAGTGTTTGTTTAGGTCTAAATTCTAGAGAGAGATGAGTATTTGTTTGTGTCTAAATTTTAGAAAGAGATATGTATTTGATAATGGTATGAGAAGTGTATGGTTTGCCATGGATGAGAAAGAAATAAGAGAAGAAGAAGAAGAAGAAGAAGAAGAGCAAAAGAATATGATGAGAGAAGAAGAAGAAAAAGAAAAGAATACATAAAAATTAAAGAAAACTGGGAGAGAAATATTTTGGTTTATAATGGCATTAAGAAGAAAATTAGAAAAAGAAGTAAGGGTAATTTAGACTTTTTATAACTTCTGTTACGTCCATCCAAAATTGCAATTTGGTATAAAGTTCAGAGGGTTTAAGTGTTACAAATGAAATTATAGAGAAGTTCCGTGTTTTTTAGATAAATCAAAGGGGGTTAAATTATAATTTACCCAAAAATATATATAAGAGCATTTTTCATGCAAATAGGCCAACTGTTTAAAATAGAACGAATTACAATTTACCCCCTCAACTATCACCATTCTTTACTTTATCCACTCAAACTAAAAATTGATACAATTTATCCTTTTCATAGTCTAAAAATTTTAAATCTAACCCTTATGTCTCCATTTTGTTAACAAATCAGACGGAAAAATGTGCATGTAGTGTGTACATCTTATAATTATGATGAAAATACTCTTTAAAGTTGTGTCATAAATATGATGTACACATTACCTACGCATTTTCTGTCAATTTTGTTAACCAAATAAAGATACAAGGGTTAGATTGAAAATTTTCAAAAAATGAAAAGGATATATCAATTTTTAGTTTGAGAGGGTAGAATAAAAAATGATAATAACTGAGGAGGATAAAGTGTAATTTGCCCTTTAAATACACTGAACCTAGATCAAGTAGCTTAGGTTGTATCACTAGATAAAACTATTCCCAAAGAAAAAGAAAAGCCAAACGTCTCTTTTCAGTGTGAACAAAAATAGAATGTGAACATGTATACAAATTTGTGTCTAAGCTTTTTGGAATGGATTAAGGGATATTTAAATATAAAAAAAAATTGTTTTAAGGGTAAACATTCACTTCAAAAAAAAAACACCAAGTCAATCAAACCAAACACATTGAAATGCTTCCTCGATTTTCTGATGTGAAATTGCAAGATCAAAAAGAAATTTGATACCCTCACTGTAAAAATTGAATTATGTAATTGTTAGATTTGGTGGTGATTGTTAACGGTATGTTTAGTAATCATTTCATTTTCAATTTTAACTTATATTTACAAAAATTTTAAAATTTATCATAAAAACTTGTTTGATAATTTTTTTAATTTATAAATGATTGTCTCAATTTATAAATTTAAGAAAAAAAAATAAACTCAGATTTTTAATTAAAAATTTAAAAATTTGACTAAAAATTTTTTTTTTTCAAATATATTATTTTTTTTCAATTAACACTTTTTCCAATTATTTTTTTTTTCAGTTAAGTTTTTTTAATTATTATTTTTTTCAATTATAATGTGTATAATCCCATTATCATAAATAATAAAAAAATAAATATAAATATTTTAAACCTAAACAAATATTTTTTAATTTATGTTTAGGTAGCATTACCCAACGCTACCTAAGTTAACCTAGATTGTTTCTTTAAATTGATTGAACTTGTAAATATACAAATTTTCAGTTTAATCATTGTTTCTTTAAATTGATTGAACTTGTAAATATACAAATTTTCAGTTTAATCTAATTATTCTCACATTTATAATTAATCTCCTATTGATCGACTCAAAAAAACATGCTTCCTCAATGAATGTTGACTAATCAAATTTAATCAACTATGTTATTCTTCATATACACTTGGCTCATGGTTGAAAATATGGTAGATTTTGAAAATTAAGACATGGTTTTGGAACATCACCAAAAGAAGAGTATTAACGTGAGAAAAATCTAAAAACAGACGCAACTTTCTTACAAGAGACGGATTTCACCTTTATCTAAGTCCCACTTAAATAAAAAGTCGTATCCAATTTTGTGGCTGATTTCTATATAAATAGAATACCTGATAATTTAAGTCTCAATTTCTGAATTAAACATCTAATTCTTCAGCCATCAATATCCCTATTCAATTTCGTTCTGGCAAAATGAAGTGCCAAATAACTAGCATACACAGCCACAGGGAGACAAACAGACCATAGATGTTTGCTTTTCCTCAATTAATGACTATCCAAGTCCCAAACAGTCCTTCGGAAAATAACAAGAATACACACTGAATTAAGGATGGCTCCACTTGAATTTCTTCAAAGAATATACACTGTATCCTCGTGTATCATAATTTTATCATCCCCGAGTTTCTGCACAAAACATGAAAGAACCATCATGTTATTAGTTGATGATGGATTAAGGTAAAGCAAGTTGGAATTAAAACCTCAAAAACCAACACACCACACTCGAGAGTAAAAACTCAAAAAGTAGATTCTAATGCTAGTTATGCAGTCTGTTATTAGAAGCTTACAATTCATGATTTAATTTGCAATTTATCAAAAGTCGATATGAATCTACAAATGAATCTATTTTGAGATGAAATCTATGATGAATCACAGAATTCACAATCCATTTGCTTTTTACAATTCATACAATTCTTAAAACTATTACGCCTGATAAATTTTGATCTTTCTTTACTTATTTTTTTAGTGAAAACACATAATACAACTTCCAAAAGTGTTTAGTGTGAAAATAACTCCTCTTTTTTTGGTGCTTCAAAAATGAAATACTTATGTACAATTTGTTGTTATTTTAGTAATTAAAGAATTTTTTAATAAATTACATCCCATTAGATCCTACAAGTTTCATCTTTTTTTTCCTCCCAAAAACGTCACCTAAGAAAACTTGCACCCAATAATTATATATTATGATTGTGGTCAAACAAATATGGATCAATATTAAATCGGTCAGATTAGTTAGACCTGGTAGAATATATGATTGGAATCATTCTGTGTTAGAATATATTATTGAAATCATTGTATTATTTGTGTTTCCGTATTTAGATTATATTGTAATTCCTTAATCAGTGTCTTTCATCCTTTATAACAATTTGATTGATTAATATAAAAGAGGTGATATTATTATCATTCCCTAAGTTAGCATTCCTTTTAAGCAAACATTGTATCAGAGGCTCCTATCTCACTACTATACCTCCAACAACCACCAATCACCCTTCTGACAACCACCAATCACCACTCCGCCAACTAGGGTTGTTCACGGGCCGGTTGGGGTCAAGTTTGGCCACGAACCGTCAGCCGACTGAACATGATCAGGTTCAAATTTGGTGAAACCGTTTTTGAACCACATATCTATCGAAATCAACCGAACATCAATTCAATTTTTCGAATCGGCTGTAGTTAGATTACATGGGTTGAAAACCCCAAACCAAAGTTCTGAAAAGCGGTTGCGGTCACCGTAACGGTGGAGATGACGCTGTTGCGATTGCGGGGTGTAAAGGTCATAGTGTAACGGTTGCGGTAACCGAAATCGTGAATTTTTTTATTTTTCGCACAATTTGAAAAAACCTTACCGATACGCATATTTTTTTTCCATGATCATATTTATTGGGTTAAAAATAAATATTGATCAATTTTTGTAAATTTTTAAGTATGATTCAATATATTTCATATTTTTAAATCACTATAAACTAATTTTTTTACATTTTATTTTAATAATTAATGACTTTATATTATACAAAAAATCAATCACTAACTATTATATATAAGATTAACAATGACAAAAGAAAGAGAATAAATATATATATATATATATACACACCTATTTTAACCAAGCCAAATAGATAATGACCACACTTAGGGATTGTTTGGGATGACCTAAATAAGTACACTTTTTGTCTTTTTACGAAAAGATGTGCAGAAAAGTAGAGAGGTGATGTGATGGAAAAAAGATAAAAAGATGGATTATTTCTCATATGCCAAACTTGGCCTTACTATTATTATTATTTTCAAATAATATATAGATAGACACACACAAACAAAATGGTTTAGTGATAACAGCTGAATAGAATAGCATAGATCTTACAGTTTCAACAAATCAATAATATATTCTTCATCTTCTCTCTTCTCTCTCTCTCTATCTCTTGCTCCTCCATTTTCTTTCTCTATCTTCCCTCTTCTCTCTATCCCTCTTCCCCATTTTCAGTTTTCTTGTGTGTTTTTTCGGAAAAAACAGTTTGGAACCGTTACGTAACGGTGCGTAACAGGCAATTATGTAACGGTGCGTAACAGGCCGTTATGGCTGTTACGGCACCATTACGACCGCTACGGCCGACACCTGTGAATCTCAATCACACTGCAAAAACGGCCGTAACGGGTGGCGAAAACCGCCAAAACCGTTACGTAACGGTTGCGGCCGCTTTTTAAAACCTTGCCCCAAACAAAAATCCTAAATCAAAACATCACCAGATCAAAATATTTTGAAATATTTAAATAAAACCATAAAAAAATAGAACAAGTACAAACCCTAAATCAACCATCATCAAATCAATAGATTTTAAAAACAATAAATCCAAACATGAAACCATAAACAAACATAAAGTTACCTCAATTTCCTGGAGACTACTATTGCTGGAAAATCAAAAGATGGAATCACTCTTTTTAGAGAGAGACAAGAGACCAAGGGTAGAGAGAGAGAAGCAACGAATCAAGTAAAGAGAGCGGGTCAACAAATTTTTTTTTTTTTAAAACTAACAGAAGCAACAAGCTGATGAGAGAAAAGAGAAAGAAAAGACACAAAGTGTCATAAGAGACCAAGACTCTTAGCCTTTTGTGTTTAATTAGCTTTCTTTTTGGAAAAGACAAAATGAGATAAATGAGAAACAGAAGGAAACACTGGAAAGTTAAGGAAGGTGGTCTACAACAAACACGAAGACAACTATCTTTCGGTCGAATCAATTCCAACAAGTGAATATATCACAAACCCACTACCAACTGTGATTTCAAAAACTCACAAAGAATAAAACTATTGCTGACCGTGCATCATCTTGAAACCATTCATATCATTGCAGGTCAATTCGGGTCAAGCGAGTTCATCAAGTAAGTGGTTTAAATGAACAGCCCTACCGACAACCACCCAACTTCTCCAAGCCTTCATTGTGGTTAAACAAACTGTTATTTTGATTAAAGTTTCGCCATTTTACCCTTTTATTTATTATTTTGGGTGGTAAATGGCCCCATTAATCTAAGTGTTATGCTCCCATAGTAGTCTGGGTTTGAGATTGCTTGCTCACTCTATTCCCTCTTATTATTGTGATTAGTGCTATGTTTTGGTTAAGATAGTAACGTAAAAATGACTGACTACTTCCAACCCATTTAAAGGGGATAGTCTCAGTCCAGCTATGACTACTATTTTTGAAAACCTAAACCCTAGCCTTAAAATCACCACATCTGTGTTTAATGGTCAAAATTACCTTGCATGATCTCAGTGTCTGACACTTTTTTTTGAAAAGTAGAAAGAAAATGGAATGTGTTGATGAGAGTTCAAGCACCAGATATTATTGATCCTGTCTATGAACTCTTTGATTATGTGAGACTCATTCATTCCATAATCCCTAAGATTGGTAAAGGTTATTTATCCATAGAAACTGCCCATGATGTTAGGGAGGCAATAACTGCTACATATTCACAGAAGGATAATTTTTCTCAGACAGTCGAATTGCGCTGGTCTATTGAGCGCTCAATCCAAGGGGAGCAGACAACTCTTTAGTATTACACCTTTTTGACTAATGGTTGGAAACACCTCAACCATCTCCTAGATTACAAGCCTATCTGCACCGTTGACTCCGCTGGTTACCAAAAGTTTCTTGCACAGGAGAGGGACTTCAAGTTTCTGAAAGGCCTTAATGTGGAGTTTGACCTGATCCGAAATCTTGTCCTTGGCATTGATGTTTTTTTGTCTCTTCAGGAGGCCTTTGCTTATGCCCAAAATGAAAGGAATCATCGTTCTGCTATGCTACCACCAACTTCTACAGACCGTTCAGCATTACTTTCTGCACCTTCTAAAGATAGGACTGGTTTATCGTTTCTTTATCCTCATCCTTTAGGGAAGGATATTTTATTCTGTCATTACTTTCGCCAATCAAGGCATACCCAAGAGACTTGTTGAAAGCTTCATGGTATTCCATCAAGGAATTGAGGGGATCACTCGAGTCATAGAGGCAGTCGTTCTAGTCAGTCGAAAAGACATAGGTCTTACTCTCGTGCTTATCAATCTAGTGCTATAGAGACACATGATTCAACTTCGGTTATGTAGACTTCTGATCTGGTCTCTGATATGTCATCTTCTGAGTTTGAAGATGGTCTGCGCCATCTGCTTGATCGCAAATCTCTAATTCCTCCAGATGCATCTTCTTTTTCGTTTGCCTATTCAGGTAACTTAGTCTCATCCTCTAGTGTGTTCTTATCCCATAAGGCCTCGCCATGGATTATTAATTCTGACGCCTCCGATCATATGTCTGGATCTTCTAATCTCTTCTCAGGCTATATGAGATACATCCGCCTCTAGTCAAGATAAAATTAGGATTGCTGATGGTACTATTTCCTGTCTCCGAGAAAGATTTAATCCATGTCACCGTTTCCCTACTTTATGTTTTACATGTTCCTAATTTTTATATTAATCTATTGTCATTAAGTCATCTTACTTGGGATTTGAATTGTAACGTAACTTTTTTCCCTAATTCTTGTCTTTTTCAAGACCTTATCATGAAAAAGACGATTGGCAGTGGTAGAACAAAAAATGGTCTATATATTTTGGATCAGACAGACCAACTGGCTCATCATTCTATCTAGTCTCCATCCACCACGAAAGATTTATGGTTGTGGCATCGCCGTCTAAGACATCCATCTTTTTTATTACTTAGATATTTATTTCCTTCTGTTTTTTTTTTTCAAAATAAAGTCTCATTGTGAGTGAAGTCTCATTGCGAGTCTTGCCAACTTGGCAAACAACACCGAGCTTCTTTTGCTCCTAATAATAATAAAAGTTTTGTTCCTTATTCTTTAATTCATTCTGATGTTTAGAACCCCTCTCGTGTGTTATCAATAAAGAGTCATCGATGGTTTGTTACTTTTATAGATAACTGCTCTCGTGCCACTTGGTTGTATCTCATGAAATAAAAGAGTGAGGTTTTCTCTATGTTTCAAAACTACCAGAAGATGATTAGTACCCAATTTAGAACGGTTGTCAAAGTCTTGCGTTCTGATAATGGGGGTGAATACATTGATTCTGGGTTGGCCAAATATTTTTCCATTCATGGCATTATCCATCAAACATCTTGTACTGACGCCCCTCAACAAAATGGATGGGATTGCTGAGAACAAGAATCGTCATCTCCTAAATATGGCTCGTTGTATGTGTTTTTCTATGAGTGACCCTCAGGCCTATTAGGGCGAGGCTGTTCTTACTGCAACATATCTCTTTAACCGTCTTCCTACCCAAGTCTTATAAAAAAAGACACCTCTTCAAGTTCTCTTAAGTTCTCAGTCTCTATTTTCCATTCCTCCAAAAACCTTTGGTCATGTATGTTTTGTTCACAATCATTATCCTTCTCAGGGTAAGTTGGAACCTCGTTTTCTCAAGCATGTGTTCTTGAGTTACTCTTATTCTCAAAAAGAGTACAAGTGTTATCATCCTCCCTCTCGTAAATGGTTTGTGTCCATGAAAGTCACCTTCTTTGAGTCTTAATCCTACTTGTCCAGTCTAATGTCCCCGTCATCTCTTCAAGGAAAGCCTTGGTATGAAGACAGTCATGTTGCTTTATCATTCCTAGCTCAGTATTGCCTCTAGTGGTACCTCTTACTAGCAATATTGAATCTGATGTTGCCAAGAACAAAAAAGAGCAAGTTTATGTCAGGGATAAAGAAAAAGAAAAAGTTACATAGATATAAGAAACCAATTCTGATCAATCATTGTCGTCTCCTTCTCTTGATGACGGTCCAGGTAACTCTCCAACTCCTGATATTGCCACCTCTGAGTTTGAGCCTACTGATCTTGATATACTCATTGCCAAAAAAAAAGGGTATGAAGTCTTGCACTCATCATCCAATTTCTAACTTTGTGTTTTATTCTTATTCATAAAAAACCTTTGTCTAAAATTTCCTCTATTAGTACACCTAATCATTTTCAAGATGCTCTTACTATTCCTAAGTAAAAACTGGCTATGGTAGACAAAATAAAAACACTTCATAAAAATGGCACTTGAGATTTGACTGAGTTATCTAAGGACAAACGAACTGTGGGATACAAATGGGTGTATACTGTGATACACAAGGCAGATGGTTCAATTGAGCAATAAGACTCGACTTGTGGCAAAAGGTTTTACTCAGACCTATGGAATGGACTACCAAGAAACATTTGCTCCAGTTGTAAAGATGAATTCAATCCTAATACTTCTCGCTCTGGCAACTAATCTAGATTGGCTACTTCATCGATTTAATATAAAAGAATGTTTTCCTACATGGTAACCTAGAAGAGGAGGTGTATATGGACATTTCTTTTAGCTTTGAAACTCTTCAAACCAAGGGAAAGGTATGACAACTTCGGAAGTCATTATATGGCTTCAAACAGTCCCCTAAGGCTTGGTTTGAGAGGTTTACTCAAGCAATGCTAAAATATGACTTCAAACAGAATCAAGCTAATCATACTCTGTTTGTTAAACATTCCTCTCATAGTAAAACTATAGCTCTCATTGTATATGTGAATGACATAATGCTTACAAGAGATGATGTTGAGGAAATCCCTTTGTTGAAGAAGTATTTGGCAAGTGAGTTTAAAATCAAAGACTTGGAAAACATGAAGTACTTTCTGGGAATTGAAATGGCTAGGTCCAAATATGGGATTTTCATCTGTCAGAAAAAACATGTCCTTAACCTATTGAAAGAAACAAGGATGCTTGGAAGCAGAGTTTATGACACGCCACTAGAGCCTAATTAGAAACTTTGTGATAATAATGGGGAAGTAACTGTTGATAGAGAGACTTATCAGAGACTAGTGAGTAAGCTCATTTATTTATCTCATTCTCGTCCTGATATTGCTATTGTCGTTAGTGTGGTTAGCTAGTTTATGCATGCTCTTCATGAAATACACTTTGCGACAATTATGAGAATTTTGAGATACTTAAATCTTTTCTTGAAAAAGGTCTTTATTTTTCCAATTATGATCATCTTAGTGTAGAAGCTTATACGAACAAGGATTGGGCAAGTTTTGTGACTGATAGGAGGTCCACCTCAGGATATTGTACCTTTGTTGAAGGCAATTTGGTTACTTGGAGAAGTAAGAAACAGAATGTGATTGCCAAGTCCAGCGCAGAAGCTGAGTTTAGAATTATGGCACAAGGTGTGTGTAAGCTCTTGTAGATCAAGTTGTTATTGCGTGATCTAGGAATTGCCCAGAAAGACTCCATGCGGCTATATTGTGATAATAAGATTGCTATCAACATAGCTCACAATCCGGTTCAACATGACTGGAGAAAACATGTTGAGATAGATCGTCACTTCATCAAAGAGAAGCTCATTACTGGTACAATATATACTCCATTTGTGAAGTCTAGTGAACAACTAACAGATATCCTCACAAAGGGAGTTGGGAGTAAACTATTTTATGACATTCTTGGCAAACTGAGTATATGAGAGACATCTTTGCACCAGCTTGAAGGAGAGTGTTAAAATATATGATTGGAATCATTCTATGTTAGAATATATGATCGGAATCATTCTATTATTTGCGTTTCATTATTTAGATTTTATTGTAATTCCTTAACCAGTGCCTTTCTTCCTTTGTAACAGTTTGATTGATTAATATAAAAGGGGTGATATTATTATCATTCCCTAAGTTAGCTTTCTCTTAAGCAAACAAGACCTAATGATTACAATAACCATACACCCTTTTAAAGTGTGTCAAGTTTCAAAATAAAATAGTTCACTTAATTCTTTCTTCATATTATACTCTATATAGGGTTCCTAGTTCTATTTTTTGAATGTCAATAAAGATTATATTATGGTTGTTGAATAATTATATAAATTGTGAGATTTGGATCCGCATCTAATTAGATAGTGTAATCATATCATTGTATAAGAATTATTTTATAGCATATGCCAAATTCAGTTTATTTCATTCTTTTATCATCATTTTCTATAGTTTTTACTAAGTCTAAACGATTATCAATTCAATTTGATTCACAAAATTATGGTTTTGATTCACGATACACATCTCATTTGACAACTATCATTATGCATTTTAAGACATAATTCATCCACTAATTCACCTAAAATCATAAGCATAATGAGATTACCTCTAACAGAAACATGATCTCTGCACGCGAGTAAGGTACAGCTGACCTGCTGTTGACAGTAGTTTCAATATCTTGAATAGATATGCGATCCACGTGATGTTCCCGCACATGCTGTCCGAATAAAGTGTTAAATGCTTCTAGTCTGCAAGGGAACAAGCATTCAGGACTACCAATTGAGACCAAACAATACATTGCTGATCCAAAAGTTTCATATCACAAACCTTTCTGAGGATACATTCACACTAGATTGAGCTGCAGGAGGAGGCTCATCTACTTCCATAGCTTCAGTCCTACTAAGTAGGAAAGCAAAACAAAATTTCAGCACAATATAATAAAATCTAGATATATATCTCCCAAGGAAAATATCTAGTATATTATGAAGGAACCAAACAATCAGAAGCTTAGTTTGCCTAATCTGGCTTGAATACATAATAATATCGCTCATACTTCATACTAAGAAAAGTGCATGAGAAACCAAAATGAATGGTCAATATGTTATATACTATCACCTTAGCCAAGTGATTTTCTCAGTATGCAGCTTCAAAAATTTATGCTGTTATTCTCAAAGGGATGTTAAAATATGAAATATTTATTCAGTCTTAGTTTGTCCAATTATTGGAGAAGTTAGTAAGGTTCTTTTCCTGCAAGTTTGACAAGAAAATAAATAAACTACTTTTACTGAATGATCCTCTTCCCATTTCTTTACAACAACACTGTGACACTCACAAACGGTTAAAATGACTTGTTGCCCTATTGGGATAGTCGTACACTAGTCCTACAAATATTACAACATCGTGAACAAAGCAACTAAGTGATTAATTATCATCTTTTAGAATAGTAGTAATGGAAACATCTTGTCATGCTTCACTGACAGCACTACAATCAATGCCTATAATTTTCTAACGAACCCTAGGAATACTATCTCACCCTGTGCATAATTCAGATTTTTAATCATCAGATCAGCATAGAGAATTGTAGCAGCCCTTAAAAGGAATTAGATACTTGTATATGCAAGCAATGAAAATCCAGAGATTGATTCATCCTTAATGAGAAAACATTGGCCAAACAATAAACATACAAGCGAAAATTCGAGAAATAATACAAGAAGGGAATAGGGTGCTTTTTTATATAACTAAAACAGCAACGAAACTTTACTGGCCCCATAAAGCTATGGAACAACTGGTAAAGTAGTAGAATTCCTATATGCATGCCTATTTCTTTAAGCTCATTTTGCAATGTACTGTTCCGCCCCAAAACAAAAACCAAAACCAAAAAATCCCATTTCAGGACTAAAACTTTCATCGAAGGCCAAAATTGCTTTTCCAGATGTAATACATGCCTTCAGAATTGAAGGGGGGGAAAATCAAAACAAATGAAGGTTCAACATTTTTGAAGCATTAGCAGAATATGGAAGAGGCTAACAAAGTATGTTAGTTTCAAAGACATGCAACGTAGTTCCTTCTGGACATAACATAAAAACCAATCTGCTTGAACAGATTCTGTTACAATAGATTGAGATTTAATTCTTCTACGTACTTTGACTTAGGGATGAAGAAACAATCATTAGGAATAACTAAAACACTTGCCTACAATTTTTCCTTACCTACCATTGCCATCAGGATTCAGGAATTAAATTTAATGTAAAAACTATGGAACCAAAAAAAAAAGAGGAAACACACTGGTATGTCTATGAGAAGCCCCATGTATACTCACAAAACAGTAAAAAGGAAACACACTAGTAAGTTATTCACATTATGCCATTTGCTAAGGAAAAATATTGCACACTCACCCTCCTCTAACAGAAGTATCAACATGGCCAGCTCTACCATCATTGCCACCATCATGGTCAGCTTTGCGTTTTCTCTCCAACTCCTTCTCTCTTTCTTGCTCGCGATCCTCCATTTCAGTCAATTCTTTGTGATATATCGCAAAGTTTAGCAGTTTAAGAGCTGCTTCAACATCAGACTTTAGAACCTGCCCAAAGACAAAATAAGCACCCACGAGACAGTGTCAACAGGCATCAAAAACCAATTGAACATGAGAACTACTGAAATGGCAATAACAAGAAACAAAAGGTAAATAGCAACAAAAGCCATGACTGTATGCTCTCTCTAGTCTCAGTCATAAGTCTTATCAGGTCAAAGATGACACTCAAATTAATAAGTACAACTCTTAGATTGACAACATGGGTACCAATTACTGTGATATCATTACAATCATGAGAAAATGCATAGAGTGAAAAAAATCACGTACCTGTCTGCTCAACTTCAGTTTGGCATGAGCAGTAGAGAGCCGTATTATGGTTTCTAAAGTTCTGGCAGTTATTGGAAGCGTTCCTCCCCCAGTCTAAAAGACAAAACATCATAATGATTGAGTCAAGAAACAAACATAGAACTTCACTTTCTAATATGCTTAGCTGATTATGAACTAATACCTTTGCATTTGAACTGGCATTTCTGAGTTCGGCATATGCAGTTGCAATGTTATCAGATGCCTGTAAATGAATGTTGTTAAAAAGTGCACTAGAAAAATTCTAAAAACTAAGGTCCATTAAGGGAACAAGTCCAACGTCTGCTAAGAGTTCAGCATGAAAACAAATACATTTACCAACTGATATAAGAAAGCATCAGCACCTCATCAGTCAGCTCTGGCTGAATTCTATGTTTTGCATAATGAATATACTTCTTAAGAAACTTGATAGTGAGGGTATCACGCTTTCGACCACGTTCTGCTCTCTTCCCATGTAGCATTCGGTTGTACTTTACATAAACAGAGGAGCCTGCATCAGCTTCTTCTTCTCTTCCATATCTTGAGCTCCCATCAAATGTTGCCTGACCTAAAAGTTGAGTTGTTTGAGCATTTTCAAATATATTGGACATGCCACAGAACTTTCAACTGATATAGCAAAGCACACCTACCTCCATCTATTGCAGAACGATACCGGTGCATACGCAAGACATGCTCCGAAATTCGACGGTCAATATCAGGATCCATTTGATCCAGCACAATAAACAGTAAATCAAAACGAGAAAGCAAAGAATCTGGGAGCCCAATATTCTTGGTTGGAGTTAATGAGCGGTCATACTGTGCATATGCATCCAATACCAAAACCAAAACAACCAGCTAGAGTTATGAGTGTACACATGGTTTCTATGTGGAAACATGTATTAATGCATCCAAATGAGGGGCAACCACAACTTACAGTTCCATATATAGGATTTGCAGCTGCTACCACACTGCATCGAGCATTCAGTGATGCATGGATACCAGCTTTGGCAATTGTTACTGTCTGCTGCTCCATGACTTCATGTATAGCAACGCGATCTTGATCATTCATCTTATCAAACTCATCAATACAAACAACACCCCGATCAGCAAGAACCATTGCACCAGCTTCAAGCCTTCTTTCTCCTGGTCAATAGAAAAGTACTGTTATTCTAAAAAATCGCCATACGGTATCAACATGTGAGGATCCTCTAGAAAAGCATTACCTGTTTCTTGATCAGAAGTAACTGCAGCAGTCAAGCCAACGCCTGAGGAACCCCGACCAGTTGTTGATATAGCCAAAGGAGCAATGTTCATAATTGCTCTTAACAGTTGAGACTTTGCAACAGAAGGATCGCCAACCATCATCATGTTTATGTCTCTAAAGAAGTGGGAAATTTTATTACGAGGGCTCAAATCTAATCTTTTGCTAAGGCAGCAAGATGCTGAACTGAACAATACAGCAGAAAGAGACAAACTCATTCAATCAAGGATAACATTGAGGGATAAAGCACAACTTACCCTCGTAGATGGGTCCCATTTTTCAAATTCTTTTCAGCTCCACCTAGCATCAATAAAATCACTGCCTTCTTTATCCACGCATGCCCGTGTATTGATGGTGCCAGTGAATTAGCTAGTAGGTCAAATGTATCATCCCTCTCAGATACCTTTTTAATGTTGCTGATGTCTTCTGGAGTGTAGATTGGCGCATTTGCCTCTTTGTTGAGCAGAGCAACATTGTTAGCTATAAGCACAGTCCTAGAAAATGCGATACTTGATTAAGCTATTTAACCACCCAACTTTATGAATAAAGATTCACAAGAAATTAGCACTTTTTAGCTAATGTGACGAAACGAACCTGAACACCCCATTCACACTGCCCTTGCTTTTCCCAGGAAGAGCTTTATATATCCCTACAATTGCCACGCGATCTCCAGGCTTGCATGAATCCACCATGTCATCCTCAACTATGACATCCACTGTTCGTGGAAGCTGTCCAGGAGCAGAATTCTCAGGCACTTCTTGCATTGATAGTGTTTGATGGTCTTTGTACTTGCACAATCCATACTCAGTCACCAACAAATTGCCAGTCTCATCCTGGAAAAGTAATAGTACTAAAAGCACCATTCTGCGGCTATAAAATGTAAGATACTAAAAGTGAAAGCCATGGCTTACCCTTGTTGGATACACGGACCCTGTGGGCAAACCCATATTGGATGTAATATCTCGATACTCCCGATTAGTGAATGCCTTTGTTGCAGGGCAGAAGTGAACACTCCTGACAACTTTTGGCCTTACAAGAGAACCTGATGATGGAAAAGTAGCTGATTGGTTATATCTAGTACCATTATAAATGGTATGTAAGTAATTTTTAGTGGCAATGCAATTACTAATATGTCAAATGCCATCATTCAATATGTGAAACAAAAATGAAAAGCCAAAACATAGGGGGACCAATCATGGCCAACCATGCAAATCAGTTTCGGTGCATGATTGCGAGGAAGTAGCATTGCTCTATGTGAAATTACTGGCTTTGTTTGTAATTGGAAGTAAAAGAAGTTACCAATGGGATAACTGCCTTGTTGAGTTCAACTATTGATCTCTGCTAAAGACATTCTAGTTAATTAAAAAATAATTTGAAAAATGTGATTAAATTTAACTTCTACTCAATATGGTACTGTTATTCACCAATGATTGCATCTACTACTATCGTAGACATTTTACTGGTAAAAGTTATCACAAAGCATGGTTTATAATCCTTCACTCTTGGTCAACAACGTGCCTTGTATCCTAAATTCCGCAACAGTTAAAAAAATATGCTGTCAAATAGCTTGGTTAAGGATTAATTAAACTTAGCCAGGGAGTTCAATAAGAAAAATTAGCAGTGGTATCTCAACTATTGACATCTGGTCCTAATTTAACCATCGTCAGGACTAAGGATTTAAAATTCAAAAGCCATTAACAAATTGTACCAGAAATTTCAAATTAGACCCCAAATTCAAAAATGCATCCCTCATCTTTAACCAAGTGACAAAAATGCCCTATACCTTGCAAATTGGTCTCCGGTATGCAGATAGTTCTGAAATTGCCTCAAAATAATCACAGAAAGACAAAGCTTCAAGCCACCATCGTCATTTTCTCAACATGAATCCATTTTATTACTTGCAAATTCTACAAGTTTATTCCTGATAGATACTGAATAATTCCAACTTCTAATCATCCCAATACCATAGAATTTTTCTATCCTGGAGTTATATCACTATGAAAAGATAAAGATAATGAATCGGATTTACTTCATCAATCCTAAATAGGTCTGCAAACAAACCAAGTTGTTTATGAACAACTCGAGCTCGGCTAGTTTACTAAATAAACAAACTTGAGCCCAAATTTTCGGCTCATTTAGTAATTGACTGATAAGGCTCATGAACACAAGAAATATGAATAAAATTTTATTTTTAATAATATATCAAATAAATATTTCATTTCACTATTTATGTTTGGTGTTTGAGTCAATTTACACGTTTGATTGATAAAAATTATTACTAATATAAGCATTCCTCTATATTTGCTCATAATTTTCTCTTTTTTCTCTTAACATGCAAATTAATTTAATTTTCATTTTTTTTTATTTTTATTTTTTTGAGTTCGATAGCTCATTTTTTAACCTAAACTTGAGCTCGGCTCGTTTTGCAACCCTAATCCCAAAGTAAATGCACCTTCAAGTTTAATTACCAAAACACAACATTTCAAAGACCTAAACAAGCACAAGAAGCACAGTTTCAAAATAAGGAATGAAAAGCAAAAGAGGGAAAAGAAAGTACATTTGGTGACAATGCCCTCAACACAAATCATGGAACCGATGAAGCTAGAGAAGAGATCCCTGGGGGTAACGCGACGCGACACGAAAGGCCCTTCGAATCCAACAAGAACTTGCTCTCCTTCCTTCAAGTACTTGGGATCGAGGCTGCGTGCGAACTCCGTGACCGCATCGCTTAGGGCTTGCATGTACTCACCTGGATTTTGAAGCAACCTAACAAATTCACAAAAAAAACAAAAAAATTACAGATAATTAAGATCAAATCAAATCCACACAAGTATATCAAACATAGAGAGAGCGAGCGAGAGAGAGAGAGAGAAAGAGAATTGGACCTGCGAGCCAAGTGACCTTCCTCGTAAGCGAAGAAATGAGAGATGTTGAGGATGAGACGGCGGCGCTTGTGATGCATCATGTTTTTGATCTCGTGTGTGTAGATGTCCTTCCATTCCTGATTTACAGACAGAGAGATTGATTGATTGAGAGAGAGAGAGAGAGATGAGAAGGTTACAGAGAGAAACAAGGATGAGATAGAGAGAGAGAGAGAGAGTTACATCTTGATCGAAGAACTTGCGGAATGTTTGCTTGTGCGCTGCTCTCATTTCCTCGCTGATGTCCATCTCTTGATCTCTGCTTCCGTTCCTCTGTGTGTATGAGAGAGAGAGAGAGAGAGAGAGAGAGAGAGTTGCAGAGAGAGAATGGAGAGGAGGTGATTGTACCCCTTTTTTCAATCTAGGTTTTAGTTTTTGGCGGGAGAGGGTTCTGATTTGGGCGGGAAAGCTATGTTCCAGGGTTGGAAGTTTGTCTCTTTTTTTTTTGTAAACGGAAGTTTGTCGATTGTCGTTCTTCTTCTTCGGCTTTTTTTTTTTTAAAAAAAAATAATAATAATAACTCAAGTTTGAAATGAAATTTTAAAAAAAAAAACAAAATAAGTTTGAAGTTAAATTATATAAAAATATAAGTTGCGTTTGGTAGAGTTTTATAACTATGATTTAAAAGTAGAAGTTGTATTTTGAGTTTGTGAGTTTTGAAATTATGATTTAAGTGATGAAAATTTATTTGGTGAAAGAGTTTTTGAATTGAGGCCAAGTTTGGCATGATTGCAAAAAGATAAAAAGTCAAAAAGTCACTATCCTATTTAACTCACATCATCTTATTTAAGTCACATCACCTCTCTAACACATCACTTCAAACCCAACCCAAACCCAACCCATATTTCATAAAAAGTCAAAAAATGCACTTATTTAGTCTTCACAAACTAGGCCTGAATGGGAAAATTTGATGTAATATATAATATTTGATATAAAAACTTATAACTCATAACTAAACATACAACTCAAAATTCTATTAAAATACATAAAAAAAAATTTAAATTTCGGAAAATATTTTTTTTGAATATATAATAATTAACATATGTCAATTGTATAAAATAAATAAATAGATAAATAAAATTTGTACTGTTCCGGTTAACCGGGTGGACGGCCGATTAGTCCAAATTTTCCCACCTTTGATAAAATTTTCAAAATTGAGTGTACAATTAACTTTGGAAACTATAAACAAGCATCCGACCAAATAAAGAGGTGGAATCATAATTTGAAAATCATTTCAAACAGGGTCATATACTCTCGTATGCAGGTTGAATAGCTTGAAGATAAAGTCAAGTAAGAAAGTTAAAAAAATTTACAACTTTTGTGAAATATTTTAAATAACTAATTTTACATTATTTCAAAAATCATCATAATCATCCTAGTAAATATTTCAAATTTGAGAAGTTATTTGGTTGGCATGTGGTACCCGGATAATTGGTAGCGGAGTTGGGGCTCACAATTTTATATTAGGTCATAAAAAATAATAAGAGATATAATGATTTATAATTGATGAGAAATATTATTATGCGCTGATTCCAAACCACTAAATAATCTTTTCTTAAATTCATATCTTTAGAGAGAGAGAGAGAGAGAGAGAGAGAGAGAGTTGCAGAGAGAGAATGGAGAGGAGGTGATTGTGCCCCTTTTTTCAATCTAGGTTTTAGTTTTTGGCGGGAGAGGGTTCTGATTTGGGCGGGAAAGCTATGTTCCAGGGTTGGAAGTTTGTCCCTTTTTTTTTTTGTAAACGGAAGTTTGTCGATTGTCGTTCTTCTTCTTCGGCTTTTTTTTAAAAAAAAAATAATAATAATAATAACTCAAGTTTGAAATGAAATTTTAAAAAAAAAACCAAAATAAGTTTGAAGTTAAATTATATAAAAATATAAGTTGCGTTTGGTAGAGTTTTCTAACTATGATTTAAAAGTAGAAGTTGTATTTTGAGTTTGTGAGTTTTGAAATTATGATTTAAGTGATGAAAATTTGTTTGGTGAAAGAGTTTTGAAAAGAGTTTTTGAATTGAGGCCAAGTTTGGCATGATTGAAAAAAGATAAAAAGTCAAAAAGTCACTATCCTATTTAAGTCGCATCATCTTATTTAAGTCACATCACCTCTCTAACACATCACTTCAAACCCAACCCAAACCCAACCCATATTTCATAAAAAGTCAAAAAATGCACTTATTTAGTCTTCCCAAACTAGACCTGAATGGGAAAATTTGATGTAATATATGATATTTGATATAAAAACTTATAACTCATAACTAAACATACAACTCAAAATTCTATTAAAATACATAAAAAAAATTTAAAATTTTGGAAAATATTTTTTTTGAATATATAATAATTAACACATGTCAATTGCATAAAATAAATAAATAAATAAATAAATAAAATTTGTACTGTTCCGGTTAACCGGGTGGACGACCGATTAGTCCAAATTTTCCCACCTTTGATAAAGTTTTCAAAATTGAGTGTACAATTAACTTTGAAAACTATAAACAAGCATCCGACCAAATAAAGAGGTGGAATCATAATTTGAAAATCATTTCAAACAGGGTCATATACTCTCGTATGCAGGTTGAATAGCTTGAAGATAAAGTCAAGTTAGAAAGTAAAAATAATTTACAACTTTTGTGAAATATTTTAAATAACTAATTTTACATTATTTCAAAAATCATCATAATCATCCTAGTAAATATTTCAAATTTGAGAAGTTATTTGGTTGGCATGTGGTACCCGGATAATTGGTAGCGGAGTTGGGGCTCACAATTTTATATTAGGTCATAAAAAATAATAAGAGATATAATGATTTATAATTGATGAGAAATATTATTATGCGCTGATTCCAAACCACTAAATAATCTTTTCTTAAATTCATATCTTTACTATTATGTCTAAATCTGACAAATTCTCTTTGATTTTTAGTGCACGAATCATTTCATTTTAAATTTACAAATCCAAATTTACTCAAATCTGTCATAATCATCATATTAAAGCTCTCAAATTGTATTATTCATTTGAAATTTATAATAACACAATTTTGTACAGTTTCTTAAATATGTTTACAAAATACTTTTGGAGTAGGAATAATACAATTTTTACACTTTCGGATTTTTGGAACCAAATCAATACTGAAACCACGATGGATTTCAATCAATTTAGGCATCTACTTTATATTTTTTGTTTTTGCAAAGTTTTTGTTTTGTTAATTACACAATCAAGCTAAATTTGGTTTGGTCTTTATTTTTTTAGTATAATTATTTCAGGCTCCAGTATTTAAATTTGATTTTAACTCGAATTTAGCACTTGTATAAATTATTTTTTTATTTTTTTAATTCTTAGTTTGGTTAAAACTTCTTTTAGTATTTTTTGTCTCTTTGTATTTATTTTTATGTAGACATTTTGTAAAACCTATGACTAGGCTTGACTAGGTAGTTGGAATTTTGTGCAAATTTTGGCCGTAAGTCTAGCCAAGTTAGGTATGCATTAAATTTTTGGTTTTGTTTGTATCCATCTTGTGTTTTATAAATTGGCTTTTACGCTAATTCAATATTGACACATTTTCTAATCAAACTTAAACAGCCCACTAGGCTTAGAAAGGATTATTTCAAATAAATACTCCACATTAATGGAACAGTAATAATAAAAGAGATAAAAACTATGCAATTTCAATTTTCTATTTGGTAACAGGTTCAGGAGGTTTTAAATTTGAATTTTGATATCCTACTTTGCCTGACTATATCCTGAATTTGCCCTCCTGAAGTGAGTCCAAAGGCATTACCCAATACGAGCTTTTGGTTATCAAAAAAATAATAATAATATTTGCCTTTTAAATGTGTCTTGATTAAGAATTCAATCAACAAACACCATTCAATTGTCGAACACAATATGTCCTGTAAATTGATGCATCCTCCCTACCCACAAGGCCAAGAAACTGCAAAGAAAGCAAAAGTATTATCATTCTTTGAAGGAAAAAAAAAAATGTGTATGCCTAAGCAAATTGAAAGTGTCATGGCCTAAGGTTTTTCAAAATTTTAGACTAAATATAAAAATGGGCATTATCTTATCGAGTTTTTAAAAAATTGCGGCATTCTCCAATAGGCGACAAACAAAGTGGCCTAATTGTTGAACTACCTCTAATCAAGTCCACTACTGTGCATGCTGTGTCAACTTGGAAGCACAATCGGGAAGACTACCCATCCATGACGGAGCCAACATGGCGGTTTGCTCATGAACAGTCTGAAATAACGGTGGCAATGCTTGGTAAACTGAAGCGATTTCTTTCATGGCTACACTTCCACATCCTGCTCCATCCATTTCTGTACCATTTGTCCAGACACTAATCTTCGGTTGCAACCCTTTGATCGCCTCTGCATTGATCCTAGCCATTTCTTCAAAAATGCCACCGTTGATCATCAAATAATCTCTCAATGCATAGTAGTTTCCTCCTAGCGCCGCTAATAAGGTTCGAATATAAACTCCTTGTGCCTCTGCAAGAGCCACAAGTCCCTCAGCTTCTTTCTTTTTGGCATATAGCAGCCCATCCGCTGCTTGTTTTTGGACATACAGTTGAGCATCTGCTGCTAATCTTTCACCCTCCGCGTCCTTTTCTTTGTTATATAGCATTGCATCTGCTGCTCTCTGCTTCTTGTATAGATCCCAATTAGCTTTTTGGACCTGGATTGTCATAGATTTGCAAGGAAACAAAAAATTTGGATTAGTCTATAAGAAATTGAGAGAGATTGAGAGAGCAAATATTAGCTCTATGTTTTTGATGTGTATTGCAACCAAATGGAACCTCCATTATATAGAAGATGTTTTACAAGACAAAATGATGAACAAAGGAAATATACAAATGAAAGGCCACCGAAAGATAGCTGAAAGCAAAAGGAAAAGAAGGCGTCTATCTGTGCTAGGCTAGCAACAACTATCTATACAGATATTTAATATAATCTATTAAATATACTATCTACTATTAGCAGCTGTAGATCTATACAGATTAATATAGTATTAACTTATAACATATTATAGGTATAGTATTAAAGCAGTTTGTTTGGTCTTATCTAAAATAGCAGGTTATTGGCTATATAAGTCAAAATCGCTTTTCCTGTTTGAATCACATCCATCATAACACCTAAGCATATGACATAAGAGTACCGTTTTGGACCGTTTTGTATTTGTCCACCACGCTTCCATAGAGAGCATCAATCGGTGTGAGAGGAATCATCTGAGTTGGTTAACAGAAGGAAACATTTTCTGTTTTGGGGGTTGAGATGAAATTGATCGGGCAAATTCACGGCGTCTAGGAGGAGGGAGAAAGTGGGACTATTAAAAGGATTGTGGTCGCAAAATGGGGAGAATTGTGGAGGTCTAGAAATGAAACTTCATTATCACAACTTGATAAGAAAAAAAAAAGGGTAGCAGAAAATGAAATAATCAATTTCAAGTAGAACTTAATAGAAGGAATCAGGAAAAATGTGTAATATGACCAGCAAATAATGCAAACAACGACCCAAAAAAGAAGTTGAAAACTTGCAGCCTGTGGCATTTAGGAAGATTTGTTTTTCATGTTTTCAAATGGGAAAAAATTGTACTTTTGTTTTTTTACTTTCATCTTTCAGAAAATACAAACTTGTTTGGCGAAATCTTCTGAAAAAAAACTCTATTTTTAGGAAACACAGTTGTTTTTCAAATTTTCAAGACTGTTTTCTCTTTGATGGATGTTTTCCAACATTTCATTATTTTGTTTTCAAAAACATGGAAAATGAAAACAAAGAAAACAAAAAACAAGCAATTTGGATCTTTAGTTGAGAGCCATGTATTGAAGAGATAGCTTAGACCCTTTTTTAGCCACATCAAGCATCAAACATGAAAGCATACTTTGCAAATATAACAAACATACCTCAATTTCATAATCAACACTAGCCTTGCTGAGAAATTCGGCCTTAAGCTTCTCAATCCGAGTCCATGCATTTCTCCTCTCAACTTCCCTCTGCAACTCAGCCTCTCGAATTGCCACAGCCTTCTCAGCCTCCACCTCTGCCATCTTCGCCTTTTGTGCCCACCTGGCCTTCTTGGTTGCCAGCTCAGCATTTGCCTCTGCCACGTCAGCATCTCTCTCGTTCTCAAAAATCCTAACCTCCGAATTTACCTTAATACTCTCCTTCACCCCCTCGCCCTCCCTTTGCGTGGCCACTATTTTTGTCTCCGCATCAATCTTGGCCCCATTCTGAACTGTCAATCCTTGTCTCAACTTAGCTCCGACCTCACCTTTCATCTTCGCTTCAGCAACATCGATTTTCGCTTGGTTTGCCGCTTCCATTTGGGTTTTTTGACCCAAGTATGAAAAGTACTCGTGCCCTCTAACATCAACAAGTTGCTTAATATTAGAATTATAGATGAAAAGCCCAAACTGGTTGAGCTCAAATTGAACCTTGTCAAACACCTCTTGCTTGAATTTCTTATTGTCTTCAAAAATGTCTTCCATGGTCATGGAAGCAGCGAGAACGCGCATTTCCCCCTCAATCACACCTTGAACGAGTTCTTTGACATGGTTGGAGTATCGGTCATGGTGAGAGAGTAGTCTGGCATATTTTAAGAGGCTTTCCATGTTATCCGCGCAAGGGCCAATGGTGAAAACAGCAGGGAGGAGGAAGGCTAGCTTCTCGGTGCTCATGGCGTTCACTTCGAAGGTATAGTTAACGGGTGTTATGTCGAAAACTGTGCATTTCTGAAATGGCCATACAATAAATGCCTTCTTTGCAAGCTTTATTTCCTCGATGCCAGCCCCTGTGATGACCAGGAATTCAGATGCCTTCGCCACTCTATACCACATTTTCTCCAGTTCTTGATTCCTTAATTCTAAGTTGTGACAATGAAATAAGAAAGGGAGAAAATAATTATTTAAAAAAAAAAAAAAAACAGATTTTTATAATTCAAACTCTGAAGGCAGATTCAATTTTCAGTCCACCTATGTTTCACTCAATTAAGGTTGTTAGAATATGCAACCATATCCAGAATTTCAAAAAACAACATAGCAGCAGAGTTTTGGTTTGAAAGGAGTTGAGTATTATCTGCTAGATTTCTTTGATGTTATTTCATGTATTGAAAACTAAAATTCTTCTCTTTTTCTTTCATTGTGTGTTGGGAATGATGTTGTCTAGTGTGGATCCTCATGGTTTTAAATATGTATCATAGAATTGAACTTTAGACTTTGGATACCGTATTTCACCGATATTAACCTTGTTGTCAATACCGATTTGTATTTCAATTATGTTATTTAAAATAACACCATGATCCTGATAAGTAAGAGATATTAACTATTGAATTGCAAATCCAATTTCGTGTTAAGCTGGCAGGGATTGTAGGGGGGCTCTTGCCAGAAGGTAGGGGTTCGGGGGCTTGGTCCCCAATCCGAATTCTGGATTAAGGGTAATTTGGTATGTTCACACTTGTGACATATAATACTAATTTTCATCTCTTTTTAATCATAGTGAAATCACAATATGGAATATAACCCTAGTTTTGTGGGAAACCGCATAAATCCCGGGTTTTATGTGTGTATGTGTTTTACAATTCTTTTTTTTTTTTTTTTTTTTGGTGTTTCACCAATCTTGTGTTGCATTACCCAACCTTCCATTGCAATTTCAAATTTAAATAGAAAGATAAACCAAAGAAATCCCTTAATATAACACATTCATTTGAATAAAAAATATCATTTGAATAAAATTGAAAAACAAAACATATAGATAGCATCACAACTTCTTCTAACTTCAGAGAATTTAAAAGATTAAAAAAATATATATGTTTTTTAGCTGAATTATCAAAATAAATTCAATAATGAAATAAACCCAAATCTATTAATACAAAATGCAAAAGCCCCCCCCCCCCCAAAAAAAAGGGGGGGGGGGATTTGAAGTGGTTATTTTTAAATTTTCAGAATTTCTAAATATTTATATTTATATTTATGTAGCAAATAAATTAAGCAAAAAATTGGGGGACACAGTTCTAGAAAATCAGATCAATTGAACAATATTTTGAAGAGTACTTCAAAATTGAATTTGTTGAAATATCAATCTCTGCATATAATGCAAGATTGAAGAACTAAACTGTTGTAGAATATAAATACAGTAAAAAAAATTAAGAAAGAAAAGTATGAAGGGTTTGTTTTGAACAATTATAAATCAAAACAATAACACTTTTTGGGGGGGAATAGATAGGAAAAAATCAAAAAGAATGCGAAATTTTATACACACTATAATAGATTAATCTGTTTGGTTGTTGAGAAACCAGAAAGAAAAATTAAAACAAAATAAAATAAGAACTTAAAAAATCATTACTTGGGAGCCAAGAAAACAAAACCCTTTACTGATTTTGAAGCATAACAGCAAATTTGCTACAGGATATATCACAATACAACTTAAGTCTTGAGAATTATTTTTCTTTAGATTTTCTCATCTACCAAACAAAAGAGATTCGAAAAAGAAAACAACTTACTTGGTTTAGCAGAAGAAAAAGACTCGAAACCCTGCAACAAAAGTTTCAACTATTTCAATAATTTTCAATATTAATATCAATATCACCTTATCAGGGCTATGGAAAAAGGCAGAGAGCCCACCATGCCTTGTTTGGTTTTGAGTTTCGATTTTTGATTTTTAGACTTTTTTATGAAGTTCCAACAAGGATTTTTATTGATAAATCTAATTTAACAATTAAAACATTTAAGATTTGTTTGTAATTATGGAAAAAATGTAAATGTATTTAATTTTTTTCTTTAATATTTTTTTAACTTTTTAAATATTTTAGCAAAAATACTAACTTTCCAAAGGATGCGATTTGTAAGACTAAAGTGAAGGATCCATATGAATTTAGGTGCGTGGTTGAAATGCTAAAAAATAAAATTATATTTATTACTATTATTTTAATTTTACATTTATTGCCTTTTTTTGGTATATTACATTGACCTTTTTTTAAATTTAATAAAGGACGAATTACATTAAAAGTCTCTATAGTTTGAAATTTGTGTCATTTTGGCTACTAACCTTTTAATTGTGATATATTTGACTTTAAATTTTGAATATCGCTTCAAATAAGGATAATTGAAAATATTATTGCTCCATTTGAAGGGCAAAGTCATCATACAACTTTTTTTTTTGTTGGTTAACTCATATGTTGTTTAAAATATAATGTCCTTTTTTTTAATGAATAATGTTCAAATTTTTTTGTTATAAAATTCTGTTTGATTTAGTTTTCAGAATCTATTTTTAGAAAAAATTTCCAAGAAATTAAAAATTAAATTGGTGAAAAAAATTAAAAACACATCATTTTTATACAAGGAGGGTATAAATAAAAAATTTTGATATTTATTTTCGTTATATTAGTTTTTATTTTTTCAAAAATATGGCGATAATTTTGATGTCATTATTAAACCAATCCATTAAATTCAAAAATCCAAAAAGTAAAAGCATTTCATATATTAAATATATTGATTATACATTAAAAGCCTAATAACCGTCTATTAAATGATAATCATCCAAAAATATCTGTTAACAACCAAAATAACCATCTATTATATGATAATTATCTAAAAATATCAACTAAACAACCATCCATTACATGATCATCATCAAAACATATACTACAAATTAATTTGATAAAAAATATAAAAAATAAAAATGTAAAAGATTTATCTATTTTATATAATTTTATCTTTGGTGAATATAAATAATTTTTAAAAATTTAAAAATAATTTTTCGACATTTAGTTTTGTTAAACTAATTTATATTTTATCAAATTGACGACTTTCCCTTGAAATAGAGTAACAATGTCTTCAATTATCCTTATTTAGAACGAGATTCAAAATCCATGATCAAATGTATTACAATTGAAAAGTCATAAACTAAAGTGACACAAGGCCCAAATTGTTAGAATTATGGTTTTTTATAGGCTTATTTTAGGCCAACTTTGGGCCCAAATTTGAGTGGTCTCACACATCTTTTGGGGTGGATCCAAAGAGGTGATATGTTTCTTGCCGCATGGCAAGTTACACAATGCAAACGATTCGTCAAAACCATTTATGAGTGACTGAGAACTTGACGTCGTTTTCGGGTTCGTGAAAAGGAAAGTTGAAGAGTTAAATGTGGGTTTTTTTTATATAGTTGTCTCACATTGAAAACTTAAGAGAACTTATATATGTATATAAGTTCTAGGTGGTAATACTTGGGCTGGGTCCCAAAGGGTACTTCATTTTGTACCTGTTCGGACAGATCTGAAGGTCACCAATTGCCTATAAATACTACAATATTCCAGCAGTTTGTTCACTCGAAAATTCACTTGTTGCTTTGAATTTTTTGCTCTCTTGCATTATTATTCTTTATATTAGTTTTAGGAAAAATTCTAAGAATGTAGAACACAGGTTCTAGTACGTCGTACAGATTGTTTGGAGTGCTATTACAATCTATGAAAATTATTGTATCTTGAGAGGTAGACGCCATTTATTCGTAAGCACAGAAGCGGGGCAAATCTATCTTAAGGATAAAGTGTCACGCACGCGACTTGATATTTTTTGTACTTATTCATTTCAGTAAATAAATTCTGTAAGTAATTTATTTTTATTTGTTTGATTTGGTTTCAAATTATTTATTTTACACAGAAGATTGTTCCAACAATCTTAAGACAAATTCGAATTATTCTGTTTATACAGAATTTTTCATTTGTTTCTCTTTCTTCCTTTCTTCTTCTTACAAAAATTATTTTATGTGTTTATACAAAATAATATTCTGGTTTGAAAATACAAATAGTAGTATGTAGCTTGCTTTTTGTGCTCATTTCGAATACGATTAGCCATACAGTTCGAACTCTCGTGGTTCTGAATTTGATTCCACAAGTGCAATGTGAAATAAATAAACACAAATGAATCCAAATCTGGCAATTCTTTTGGAAAATCGATTTTGAATCAAAACGCAAAAAATATACTGTTTTGCCAGATTACAGAATCGCCACATAAATATTTTTGAAAAATTTAAGAAACTCGAGACTCATGCCAAAGGCCACTTATCCGTTATCACCAAAGTGTCTCACCTCGGAAACTTGGGTATGAGAGAAGAAGGTCATGAATTGAGTACCCCACTTGTCCGATCAAAAGATCGGCCTCTACTAATCGTGATGTGATTCTTATTTACATTATATGCTCTTGTTCCGATTATTAAGCTATCTTTACTATGTGTTGCACACAAGTATAGACCAATTCACAAAATTTGGAATGCATTAATTTTATGCTTATTTGAAAATTGCTTTAAATACGCGTCACTTGAAAAAGTGAGTTTGTATGTACATTTAATCAATTCATCCTAATTTGAGCAAATTAACCTTCATCCACTAGCATTCAAAAGATACATCACTTAAGCATTTAGCCTAATGGAAAACATGCTCGATACATCACTTAAGCATTTAGATCGGTTCTGTGCGGTTCGGATGACGAGTTGGACCCGCTCGATGGGGTGTGGGTTGGGAAAAAATAAAACCGCGTCCGCCCGCAGTGCGGGTTATGGATTGAACGGATGGGTCATGCGGTTGTGCGGGAAGTTGCGAACAGTTTGTGAATTAAATTTTATTTTATTTAAAAAATATAAAAAAAAAATTAGGCTTTTACGTTAGGGCCTTCGCCATTTTCTGAAACCATAAAAAAACAAAACAATCAAAACAATGAGCTTAGCTTTATGACATACCACTGGTATGTGACGAGTTGGACCCGCTCGATGGGGTGTGGGTTGGGAAAAAATAAAACCGCGTCCGCCCGCAGTGCGGGTTATGGATTGAACGGATGGGTCATGCGGTTGTGCGGGAAGTTGCGAACAGTTTGTGAATTAAATTTTATTTTATTTAAAAAATATAAAAAAAAATTAGGCTTTTATGTTAGGGCCTTCGCCATTTTCTGAAACCATAAAAAAACAAAACAATCAAAATAGTGAGCTTAGCTTTATGGCATACCACTGGTATGATACCAGTTACAAGTTTACAAGTTACAACAATGAAAACATAAGCCTGCAAAGCAAACCCACAACACAACAAAAATAAATGAAGTCTGAAGAAACCAGCAAAGCAAACCACAACACAACAAAAATAAATAAATAAACCAGATCTAAGTACCTTTGTTAAATGAAACTTTTTTTTTTGTGTGTGTGCTGTAGATCTTCCAGATCTGGTGGGCGACGACAACAGGGGAGAAGAGGAGAGGACAACGGCAACTAGCCAACGACATGGCTGGTGGTGACGGAGCGGCGATGAAGTAGGGGACCGAGGTTGATCTGCGAGAGATAACAACAACGGTAGAGGAGAGGAAAGAGATGGCGACGGGAGGATATGAAAAAGAGGGGAGAAAGAGAGAGAGAAAGAGAGAGAGAGGGTGAGAGGGGGGAGAGAGAAGGGCTAGATGAGAGAAAGGAAGAGAAAGAGCTGGGTAGGGTAAAGAGAGAGAGGAGGACGCCCAAAATGAATTCAACAAATGTTGCGAGAGTATATATATATATATATTTTTTAAACATAATTTGCGAGCGGGTTATGCAATTTTGCAGGGTAGGATCAGATATGATCCGAACCCGATTTTGTATGAAAAAATAAACCCGCACCCACCCTATTTATGTATGCGGTTAGGGGTCGGATTTGTGCGGGTAGGGTCGGTTTGGGCGGGTTGTGCGGGTCGGATAAACTGTTGCGCACCCCTAGATACAACATGTTAAAACACAAAATACTCACCTAGCACTCCGAGGTAAGCCAAACAAAGCAAAATAATTAGAAAACCATGCATGCTCCTAACTAATGCAAAATGATTAATGTGACACATGCAGTAATGTAATTACATAGGTTTGGCTATTAGCACAGTATATGATTCGATTCGAGCCATGCGATAAAAGCACATATTCGAGTAATGAACTTGAAATTGACATTTGATTAGTATGATGAGCCGAACCTTATGCATGTAAGACGAATGGGTGCAAATCATGGAAAATACTAAGTAAATATGATGCTACCATTATAAGCGGGTAAATAAAAGAGAGAAAGAAGTAGGGGTTGGAAGACATATACCATTATTATATATTTTCCCTCGTGCAAGAGGGCCCGAATGAGTGTCCAAATGTCCGGATTAAGCTAACTACTTATTACATATTCCAATGAACTAGCTATCTAATTTTATTACAACAAGGATATTATAACAATACTAATTACAACAATGAAATTGCAACAATAATTACTTATTACAACAATGATAACTACAATAATGATATTAATACAAGCACAAGTGAGGCGTAACAACCGCATGCACAGTGTCCAGAAACGGCTCTGCCTGCCCAGACTTCTCTGCCTCACCTTCAGTCACTGCCTTCTGTTTCTACCAGGATTCACTGTTTACCAAACATTGGGGGTCGGTCGACCCTAAATGAGACCCGACCAGGTCCAAGAACAGCTGGTCATGCCCTAACTTCATGCAAAAAAATGCTTTTGTGCTTTGAGGTGAGAACAGTGCAGACAGAGCCTTTCTAGGCCATGTTTGTCCCTTCTGCTCCTCTGTCATGGAAAACTCAAGAGAAGAACAAATTCGAGTCCAAAACCATCAACGATA